CAAGGCTACTTTAATAATTTCTAGTATTCTTGATATGCAGTAACCTATTAGGATACTAGACAAACACTATTGCAGCAAAATTCACTCTCAAACTGTAATGACAACTTACAGGGTGCCGAAAAGCACAGGTTGGATTTAGACAGCTCCCAGACATCCAGTACCAGCAATCCCTTGGGTTCAGCCTGGCCATCTCACTGTGCCGATACTCGCATTCCATCCCCTGCAGAACAAAATCAGCACCACATAAATATTTCCTGCACAAAGCCTATCGTCCAATTCTTTTCCCTCAAAAGTAGAAAACTTGAACAAAAATTGGTAACATGGTTGCTCAAATGAACAAGCATATGCCTAGGCATCGATTATGCACTACATAAAACTAAATTTAGAACATTTCAACACTACTTGAAACTAATTGCTACTAATCAATCCACAAACAAGTATTCCGAGTATATAAATCTTAAAGTTTTCAACACCACTTGAAACAAATTGCTACTCATCAGTCCACGAACTCGTATTCCGAACCACTGAAAGGGGAAAAAAGAATAAATGAAACAAATTCAGGCCGAAAATGGAATCTTGAACTAATCTCTCCTTGATCTCAATTCCCAAAAACCTGAATTCCACGATTCCACACACAGCATAAGAATCAACGCCTCCGCATCAAAGAACCAACACACGTACAAGCATAACACAAAAAGAAAAAAAGCCCTACTAAAAAATCTTTGAACGAAACAAACCCTAACCGAGAGAAACCCTACATTCTGAAAACTCGCAGCCTTGAAAAACTATAACAAATAAAACAAAAACAAAATTAAAAAATTGGAATGTTTTCTGTGATGAACCTTCTTGCAGGTGAGAGGAGAGGCCAGGAAGTAGACGCAATCTGTGTTTCGTTTCTGTAACTCCTCATCCATTTCTCCAGTAGAGAGAGAAAAAAAAAAAAGAGAAGTTCGTGTTAGCTGGAGATTGAATTTCTACAGAGAAGTCATGAAACTCATTGGGTTTTGGAATATCTAGAGAGAGATCATACCACCAGTTACAGTACGTGTGTGTCTGCGTGTGTGTGGGGAGAGAGAGGGAGAGAGAGAGAGAGGTATTAGGGTATGTTGTGTTAGGTTTAATTGGAGTTCCTTGACGGTGGGGGTTTTGAATTTGGTGTTTTTGCAATGAAGCTCCTGAATTTTTGTTTATGCCTGTATAAATACCCTATTATACGTCTTATTTTATATTAATATTTTTTTTTTGGATTAGAGACAACGGAGTATAAAAATTTCGTTTTAAAACGATCATAACGTCTAAAATATTTATGTTTTCAAGAGAACCGAAACAAATTAGTTATAAAATCGAATTTTTAATATTTCGAGATGTTTTTTAATGTTTTGAAATATTTTATTATATTTCATACATTTGCACAATTATTTATTTTAAAATATTTTGACATATTTCAACTAATGTTTTCAAAAAATAATTTTTATTTTTATTTTTATTTTTTTTAAATCTATTTTCGAAGCGGTTTGAAATGTTTCCGAAACACTTCAAAGCGTTTTTGTTTCTTAAAAGTGCGCTTGAAAACGTTTTTGTATTTATGTTTTTTTTTTATAAAAAAATAGAACAAATTTTTATTTTTTGTGGTAAAAATTAAAAATATGGAACATGTTTAGTAGTCATTTATATTTAAAAAACTATGAAAACAAAAATAAAAAAGTTGGTTGGTATTATACCAAATATTCACCGCCCAAACCCCACCAACAAAGGGCACTAACCACCCAAAACCACCACCTAACCCCACTGACCACCCAACCCCACCATCGAAACCCACCCCCACCATTGAAAATCACCACCACAACCACCGCAACCCACCCCCTCCACCACCGAAACCCCACCATTAAAACCTATCACCACAACCATCGAAATCCATCACCACAACTATCAAAATCCAATCTCAATCCAACCACCGAAACCCACCCAAACCAACACTGAAACCATAACCACCTAAACTCATTCCCACAACCATTGAAACCCACTCCCAATCCAACCCCCATCATTGAAACCCACAACTCACTCCCACCATCATAACCAAAACTTATAAATAGAGATGTCAGTGAACCAAAGCGAGGGCAGGAGAGTATAGTTTTTATCCCCGTACCCGCTTAAAAAAATTTCATCCACCTCCGTTAACGAGTATAATTTTCATCATCATCCTCATCCGCAGGTAAATTTCTAATCTCCGTCCCCGTCCCCGCTTCCCCCGTACCCACCTAAGCCCAAGTTCAACGAGCATAATCTAAAATTCTAAGTAAATCTTGTTAAACAATCTAATAAAAAGAAATACAAGAAATAAGAAAAAATGAGGTTAGAGTTTTATTAAAGGAGGTTAGAGTTTTATTGATATTGCATAATTCAATTGAATGCAAAAAAATGATTTAACCTAAATACAAAGAGACTATATATATACTAAACAAAGGAAAAGTAAATGACTATTCTACCCTTAATAAGCAAAATGACCCTATATTTCTTAACATCTCCCCTCAAACTTACAATACGGCAGCTACAAGCATCGAGAGTTTGTCAACTAGAAAACGAAAACGGGAAATAGAATGCAACTTGATAAAGAAATCTGCAATCTGCAAAGAAGAAGAAATAAAGGACAAAGTAATGGTGTCATGCTTGAGATATTCTACTTCGATTGAAGATTGAGAAACAATAGATTGTTTCTTGTTCTTCCAAGAAATAAGAGAATCACCCAAAAAGATATAGAAACCAGTAACAGACTTGCGATCTGTGGGATCACTGTCATGATTAGCATCAGAGTAAGCACACAGCTCCAAGGAAGAAATGGATGGAAATAAAAGACTCTGAAAAACTGTACCTCGAAGATACCGCAAAATATGAAGAACAGTTGTCCAATGAACTGTAGTAGGAGAAGCAACAAACTGACTAACAACATGAACATCATATGCAATATTTGGACGAGTAATAGTGAGATATATCAAACTCCTAACAATAGTACGGTATAAAGTAGGATCTGACAAAGGTAAACCATCAGAAGAAAAATACTTTGCGTTAACCTCAATGGGAGTATCTATAGTCCTATTATCAGTAAGTCTAGCTCGCGCAAGAATATCTGCAACATATTTTCACTGAGAAAGAAGATAACCTCCGGGTGAGCAAGCTACCTCAATACCCAAGAAATATCATAGAAAATCCAAATTCTTCATTTCAAACTGTCTAGCTAACTCTGTCTTCAAAACTGAAATACAATCAATAGCATCACCAGTAATAATCATGTCATCAACATATAAAGACAGAATGATACGACCTGCATCAGTGCACTTAACTAAAAGAGCATAATCATACTAAAAGCAAATTCAAGGAAAAAGATCACAACAGAAAATTTTTCAAACCAAGCAAGAGGTGCTTGTTCGAGACCATATAACGCTTTCTTGAGCTTGCAAACATACCCAGAAATCATGTGAAATACCAGGAGGGGGCACCATATAAACTTCTTCTTGAAGATCTCCATTCAAAAAGGCATTTTTAACATCAAGTTGAGAGATATGTCACTGACGAACAGAAGCAACTGCAATAAGAGTACGAATAGTAGTCATTTTTGCAACAGGAGCAAATGTCTCCTCATAATCCATACCATACTGTTGAGAGTACCCTTTTGCAACCAACCTAGCTTTGTATCGCTCAACATATCTATCAGAATTAGTCTTGATCTTATACACCCAACAACAACCAACAACACTCTTACCAAAAGGTAGAGGAACCAAATCTCAAATACCTATTTTATGCAAAGCAGAAAGTTCCTCATCCATAGCTTGCTGTCAAAAAGGATCAAGAATTGCCTCTTTATAGGTAGAGGGCTCAAAGAGACAATGAATAGAAGTTAAAAAGGAAGTAAAATATGAAGAATAACAAGAATAAGTAAAATCTGGTAATTTTGTGGACTTACAAATGCATATAGATTGACGTAGAGGTGGATCCACAATCTCAAATGGAGTTTGAGGGTCCATAGGAGAAAAGGTAGCTTCAGGTGTGCTAGAAAGTAAAGTGTCAGTACTTGCAGAATGATCAGTACGAAATAGTCGAGTATAATGTAAAGGTAACGGGGTAAGAACATGAGAAGGGGTATTTGAAGTACTAGAAACTTGAGATGACAAACTATTAGAATCTTCAGAAAAAAGGAACTATACAAATAAGATCAGATCTAGTCAAGCTATGAATAGTGGATGACATAGAAAAAAAAAGTATATGCTCGAGAAAAATAATATGACGAGACACATAAAGTTTCTGAGTTGTTGGATCAAAACAACGATACCCTTTTTTACCTTCACCATAACCAAGAAAGACACAAATAACAGATTGAGAAGACAGCTTGTTGCGTTCAACATGAGGACGAAGAACAAAACAAGTACAACCAAAAACTCTAAAGGAAGAATAATCAGGGGCATACCTATACAACTTTTCGAAAGGAGAAACACTTGAAAATATGAGAAGATGAAATTGTATTAATCAAACCCACAGTAGTAAAAACAACTTCACCCCAAAACACACTAGGAACAGAAGCAGACAATAAGAGAGAACGAGCAGTTTCAACAATGTGTCTATGTTTTCTTTTAGCAACACCATTTTGCTCAGGAGTATCTGTACACGAAGTTTGGTGAATAGTTCCATCTAAGACAAGCAACTTATCAAATTTATTAGAAGTGTATTCCCCACCCAAATCACACCTAAAACATTTAATAACAGCAGAATGTTGAGTTTTGACAAGAGCTCGAAAGGCTGTATATATCTCAAAGAATTCAAAACGATGTTTCATTAAATAAATCCAACAATAACGATTATGATCATCAATAAAAGAAATATAATATCGAGACCCCCCTTTTGTGGCAATAGGAGAAGGTCCTCATACATCTGAATGAATCAAATCAAATGGAGAAGAAGAAACATAAATATTTCGATTAAAAGGAAAAGCTAAAAATTTTGCTAGTTTACATCCACTACAATCAAAAATGTCACAAGTTTGTAAATTTCCTAAAGCCCCTGTGGATGCCAAAAATCTCAAACGAGAAGACGAAACATGACCTAGACGAGAATGTCATAAATAAAAACTAGAAGAAGAAGGACTCAAACGAAAAGAAGATATATCAACACTAGCAGCAGCGGCGGCATCAACAACTGATACTTTTAACTCATCTAAAATATATAGTCCCCCCCTTCTTACGGCCTGTCCCAATAAGATTCTAAGTCTGCAGATCCTGCACATAACAAGAAGAAGAGGAAAATGTGACTAAATTACCAGAATCACATAATTGACCAACAGAAGCAAAATTTAATGTGAGTTTCGGAATATGATAAATATTAGGGAGAGACAAGTGAGGTGTGACAATAGAACTAACATCTGCTAAAGGCATAGGAGTGTCATCAGTCATAACAGGAATAGAAGATAAAGGAGATACAAAAGCAAAAGATGAAGAATCTAGAGACATGATGTGAAGCACCAGAATCCAAGATCCATACAGAATGTGACATACCTGAAAAACTATGAGACAACTGACATACAGAAGAAGAAGCAGACATAGCGTGTGGTTGCTTTCAAGCTTGAGATTGTTGCTGCTGTCTTAACGCAGGACATTGAGCCTTCCAATGACCTTTCTGCTTACAGAAATTGCACTCGTCAAAGACAGTTCTTGTGTAAGGCTTATTCTGATTATTAGAAAAAAAAATAATAACCCTATATTGCTTAACAAATCTAATACTTTAAATAATCTAACAATATTCAAACATAGTCTAACACAATATAATATAGATTGTAAAATATAAAAGTCAAAACAATATAGTATTTTATTTAAAGTGTCATTTGACCACAAAAAGAGAAACGAAACTATTAGAGAGAAATGAAGAAAAA